ACACGGTAATTCACAAAAAATACAGAAATGATCCGACAGAGAAGTCAGATCAGAGTCGAAGTGATGGCTGCAGACGAAGAAAAAATGAAAATCGAAAAGTTCGATGGTGTGGACTTTGGCTTTTGGAAGATGCAGGTCGAGGATTATCTGTACCAGAAGAATATGTATCAACCACTCACAGGAAAGAAGCCAGAGGACATGAAGGAGGAAGAATGGAGTCTCCTTGACAGACAAGCTCTTGGAGCCATCCGGCTGACGTTATCCCGTAATTTGCTTTTAACATTGCAAAAGAAAAGACGACAGCAGGCCTCATGAAGGCTCTTTCCAACATGTACGAGAAACCATCGGCCTCAAATAAAGTTCATTTGATGAGGCGATTGTTCAACCTTCGGATGACCGAAGGTGCTTCGGTGGCACATCATCTCAATGAGCTCAACACCGTCACAACCCAGTTGAGTTCAGTTGAGATCGAGTTCGATGATGAAGTACGGGCTTTAATACTTTTGTCTTCCCTACCAGAAAGTTAGAATGCTACAGTCACGGCTGTGAGTAGCTCATCGGGAAGCAATAAGTTGAGACTTGATGATGTCCAAAATTTGGTTCTCAGTGAAGAGATCCGGCGGAGAGAGTCGGGTGAACCATCGACCTCTTCTGTATTGCATACAGAGTCAAGAGGAAGAAGTTCAACCAAAGAAAGCAGACACAACAAATCAAAAGGAAGAAGATCCAAGTCCAGAAATTATCGTAGTTCCCAAAACTCGAAGTCAATCGAGTGCTGGAATTGTGGGAAGACCGGGCACTACAGAAACCAGTGCAAGAGTGCACTGAAGGGTCAGGAGGCAAAAGAAGAGGCAAATATTGCTTCATCCTCAGGAGGAGATATGCTGGTATGTTCTTTGGAGAACAGAGAAGAGTCTTGGGTGTTAGACTCTGGAGCATCCTTTCATGCTACCTCACAGAAGGAACTACTCGAAAATTATGTTCCTGGTAACCTTGGTAAAGTTTACCTTGGTAATGAGCAATCATGTGAGGTTGTAGGGAAAGGTGCAATAAAAATCAAGCTGAGCGGGTCTGTATGGGAATTGAAAAATGTTAGACATATTCCCGACCTGACGAAGAATTTAATCTCCGTGGGCCAGCTAGCCAGTGAAGGCTACACGACAATCTTCCATGGTGATGATTGGAAGATTTCAAAGGGTGCGATGACAATTGCTCGAGGCAAAAAGAGTGGTACTCTTTACAAGACCTCAGGAGCATGTCATCTGATTGCAGTTGCAGCAAATGAAAGTCCCAATCTATGGCACCAAAGACTTGGGCATATGAGTGAAAAAGGGATGAAGATCATTCACTCAAAAGGAAAATTACCAGGCCTCCAGTCAATAGAAATTGACATGTGTGAAGGTTGTATACTTGGAAAGCAGAAGAGAGTCAGCTTTCAGACAAGTAGAAGAACTCCAAAGAAGGAGAAGCTTGAGCTCGTCCACTCTGATGTTTGGGGTCCAACCACTGTCCCATCCGTTGGTGGGAAGCAATACTTCGTGACTTTTATCGATGATCACTCCAGAAAGGTATGGGTTTACTTTCTGAAACACAAGTCAGAAGTATTTGAAGCTTTCAAGATTTGGAAAGCTATGGTGGAAAATGAGACAGGCTTGAAGATCAAGAAGCTCAGATCCGACAATGGTGGTGAATACGTAACCACCAGATTCAAGAAGTTTTGCTATGAGCACGGGATCAGAATGGAGAGAACCGTGCCTGGTACGCCTCAACACAATGGTGTAGCTGAGCGTATGAATCGAACGTTGACTGAAAGAGCCAGAAGCTTGCGTGTGCAGTCAGGCCTACCAAAGCAGTTCTGGGCAGAAGCAGTCAACACAGCAGCTTACTTGATCAACCGAAGTCCATCTGTACCATTGGATCACAAGTTACCAGAAGAGGTATGGAGCGGAAAAGAAGTAAAACTCTCACATCTTAGAGTTTTCGGGTGTGTAGCATATGTGCACATCAGTGATCAAGGTAGAAACAAACTTGATCCAAAATCAAAGAAATGTACTTTCCTTGGTTATGGTGAAGATGAGTTTGGCTACCGCTTATGGGATGACGAAAACAAAAAGATGATCCGCAGCAGAGATGTCATCTTTAATGAAAGAGTGATGTACAAGGACCGGCATAACACAAGTGCCAGCAACTCAGAAGCGAGTGGGCCAATTTATGCAGAGGTGGAAGATATCCCTGACATTCCTATAGTAAAGAATCCTCGGTCAGAGGAATCAAATGAAGAAAGTGAAGTGCAATCAGAACTTTCTACTCCAGCTCCTGTATTGAGAAGGTCCTCTAGGCCCCATGTGCCTAACAGGAGATACATGGACTACATGTTGCTGACTGATGGAGGGGAGCCTGAAAGTTACATGGAAGCTTGTCAAACCACGGATGCTAGCAAGTGGGAGCTTGCCATGAAGGACGAGATGAAGTCCTTGATATCGAATCAGACATGGGAACTAGTCAAGTTACCTATGGGAAAGAAAGCACTTCATAACAAATGGGTGTATCGCGTGAAGGAAGACCATGATGGTTCCAGGAGATACAAAGCCCGACTGGTTGTCAATGGATTTCAGCAGAAAGAATGAGTTGACTATACTGAAATCTTTGCTCCAGTTGTAAAACTTAATACTATCAGGACGGTGTTAAGTATTGTGGCTAGTGAAGAGCTCTACCTAGAGCAATTAGACGTGAAGACTGCATTTCTTCACGGAGACCTAGATGAGGAGATCTATATGCACCAGCCTGAAGGATTTTCAGATAGAAAGAAGGATATGGTGTGCAAATTGAAGAAGAGCTTGTACGGCCTGAAACAAGCTCCAAGACAGTGGTATAGGAAGTTCGAAAGCTTCATGCACAAGGAAGGTTTCCAGAAGTGCAATGCCGATCACTGTTGTTTCTTTAAGAAGTATGAGTCTAGTTATATCATCTTGCTACTTTATGTCGATGACATGTTAGTAGCAGGAGCAGATATGAAAGACATCAGAAAATTAAAGATGCAGTTGTCAAAAGAATTTGACATGAAGGACTTAGGCCCAGCAAAGAAGATTCTTGGAATGCAAATCACTAGAGATAAGCAAAAGGGAGTTTTGCAGTTATCTCAAGCAGAGTACATCAACCGTGTTTTGCAAAGATTTAACATGGACAAGGTTAAATCAGTCAGTACACCTTTGGCCAGTCATTTTCGTCTATCCAAGGACCAGTCTCCTCAAACAAAAGAAGAAGAAGAGTTCATGGCTAAGATTCCTTATGCTTCAGCCATTGGAAGTTTGATGTACGCGATGGTCTGTACGAGGCCAGACATTGGCCATGCAGTGGGAGTTGTGAGCAGGTTTATGTCAAAACCAGGAAAAGCTCATTGGGAAGCAGTCAAATGGATCTTGAGATATCTACGGGGCACAACAGAAAAATGTTTGTACTTTAGAAAAGGAGATCTAAAGTTACAGGGCTACGTAGATGCAGACTTTGGAGGTGAAGTTGATCAGCGAAGAAGTACCACCGGATATGTTTTCACTGTCGGAGCTACAGCTGTTAGTTGGATGTCGCGGATACAAAAGATTATTGCTCTATCCACTACAGAGGCTGAGTATGTAGCAGTGACAGAAGCCAGTAAAGAATTGATATGGCTTCAAGGGTTGTTAGCAGAGTTGGGTTTCACTAAAAAAGAGAGTGTCTTGCACAGTGACAGTCAGAGTGCAATACATCTGGCAAAGAACTCAGTGTTTCATTCCAGAACTAAGCACATTGACATACGATATCATTTCATCAGATCTCTTCTCGAGGATGAAGTGTTGACTTTGAAAAAGATTGTAGGAAGCAAGAACCCGGCAAATATGCTAACGAAGGTGGTGACCATTGACAAACTGAAGTTGTGCTCAACTTCAGTTGGTTTGCTAGAATAACATACTGGAGAAGACTACTGCAGTAATTGAGGTGTGAGGACAGATTGAAATCAGTCCTCAAGTGGGAGATTGTTAGCCGCCAATGTTGACAAGAGGCAGCCTCAATTCTGGAAAATCTTCAACAACCATTCTTGAGAAAAATTGGAACGGTGGGCTGCTAATTTTTGTGGAAAAATGAGCACACTTATGTTGAAAAAGGTGTGCACTCCCCATCTATAAATAGAGGGGAGTTTGATGAACCAAACACCACAACCGAAAAGAAAAATACAACAAATACAGAAAACACAGAGAGAAAGAGAGAGAAAAAGAAAAGAGTGAAAAGAAGTAAAATATTTAGTTTCTGTGTGTATTTGAGTTGTGAGTTGTGAGTGGTTTCGAGAGTGTTTTGTAAACACAAGTGTATTTTTCTTCCTAATAAAATATCTGCAGTAATCCGGAGACGTAGGCATTATTGGCCGAACTCCGTTATCAATTGGCGTGTCCAATTTTTATTTTTTTTTATTTCACTTTTATAAATCCGACTTCATGGAAAATTCAGCGTATTTTTCCCAACAGGGAGGTCATACTCGTACATGATCCATAATATAAAATACCAATTGACAATCTTTTTTGAAAGTATGTTGGCCGGGTCCGCCAGTTGTTGGAACCAAACCCGTATTTCTCCCAGGCCAGTTTCGGTTCCACCATAAGAGGTAGTGTATCTGTCTCTATTACATAATTAGTAAATCTGAACTGAATGAGTGCATAATGAATTCTGCATATTGTCTTTGTCTGTGTTACATAATTAGTAAATCTGAATAACTGAACATGTGGATAATATGAAAATTATATTGTTTATGATACCATATCATAAACAAATAGCATTTTCAAGAATCTAAATCCAATGTACAAACAAGATGGAGAAACAGCATATACACAACAAACAACCTTGTACATGAAAAGATAGATACTTTCATTAAGCCAGGTGAAATTTTATCAGTCAGACTCACAAGAAC